TAACCATTATTTTGTAACTAATATAAAACCTGAAACTAATACAAAATAATATTTAATGTAAAGAAATGAAAATAGAGTCTCAGCGCGCCTTCCTTCCAGCCCGGCCACTTCCCTGCGATCGGCTGCTCAGACTTCCCACGAGGCATGGCCCACAAACGCCAGTCCTCGCTCCCAACACAAGCGAAGAAACCCAAAGTGCCTCCAGCCCCCAAGCCGGAGAAGAAGCCGGCCCCTCCGGACGTGCCGAAGGGAGGTAGGTGCCCGCGCCGCGCTCGCTGCGGAGGGAAGGGGTGTGCGGAGACCGACTTCTAAGTGATTTTCTCCCCCTGCCTCGTCTCCTTCCATCGTCTGAGCTGTGATCCCGGGTTCTCCTGGCGGGATGGCGGGCACAGGGTCGCGTGGATTCGGCTTCCATGGAGAAAGAGCCGAAGGGGGAAGCTGGGCGACCCCAAGCACGTGGGAGCTCGTCCCTGCCCCCACCCCACGCCAGCACCTACTTCCAGCTCGTCTCCCAGCCCCCGGGCTTCCGTGATCCCCTGCCTCGGCCCGTACCACCGCCCGCCAACCTGAGGCTGGGGGAGACTCGGGTGACTCTTTCCTCTCTCTCACCCGCCACAGCCGCGGGATCCCTCAGTGTCCCGGTGGTCATACCTCCAAAGCCTCGCATATCCCTCCACCTCGCTTCCCTGCTCGGCCGCCGCCGGCCCACATTCCGGTTACCTCCACCTCCTCCTCCTCCTCCTCTCGCTTCCAGCTTCCTCCTCCTTCCAGCCGCGCAAAGCCAATCACGTGACTCCCCGGCTTAAAACCCTTCCTCTTGCTTTCCCATTGCCCTGAGGTGTAGACTGAGAGTTCCAGGGGAGAGAGGACGGGAGAGAGAGAGAGAGTTAGAAACATCGATCAGCCGCCTCCTGCACATTTCCCACTGGGGATGTGCCCGCAACCCAGGTACATGTCCCCGACCGGAATCGAACCCGGGACCCTTGAATCCTCAGGCTGATGCTCTATCCACTGAGCCAAACCGGTTTTGGCTCTGTTCACCTCTTGGGGCTCTGTTCTCTCCTTGGGGCCCTGACCCCCACTTCTTACCTCTCCTTACCTGTGCGAGTCTCCTTGTTGCCCAGCTCTCTGCGGAAAAGTCGCGTCTTATCCGCACACAGTCTCCTTTGAGCTGTGGCTGCCGGGCTAGGAGTTTCCTTTTTTTAAAAAAACGTATTTTTATTGATTTCAGAGAGGAAGGAAGAGGGAGAGAGAGATAGAAACATCAATGATGAGGGAGAATCATTGATTGGCTGCATCCTGCACGCCCCCTACTGGGGATGAAGCCCGAAACCCAGGCATGTGCCCTTGACCTGAATGGAACCTGGGACCTTCAGTCCGCAGGCGGAAGCTCTATCCACTGAGGCAAACCGGCCAGGGCTAGGAGTTCCCTTTTGCCCTTGCAGCTCCCGGGTCACCCCAGCGTGGCCCTTACATCAGTATTTTGTGACTGTGGGTTTCATGTCTGCCCCTCGCCCCATTAACCCTTACCTTGGAGGTGAGGGCTGCGTTTTGCAGACACACAGCTTGGAGCTGGGCACAGAGTGGATTATTCTGGTGATTAGGCCTCCCGGCTAGAGCGGGCATGTGGTGGGGCCTTCATGGGGGATGGGTTTGGATAGGTGGCAGGCAGGATGGCATTGTCCTAGGGAAACGCGACCGCAGGCTCAGTGGGGAGGGGCTGGGACTGGGGGTCTGGATCTTCCTAATGACTCTGGCTCTTGAGATGGCTAAACTCCTTCCTACCTGTGAGCAGCACCGTGTAGACGAGGGCTCCTGGTCTCCTCCCGCTTAGCATCTGAGAATTCACAGGAGCAGGAGGTGCACCACAGTCATCCAAACCCAGATGACAGCTCATGCCATTCACTGGGCACTGATCTGCCAGGCACCGTGCCGCGAAGCCCTTCTCTGCCCGTCAGCCCTCCCAACAGCAGCACTCGGTGGGCAATAACCCCATTTTGGAGATCAGAAAGAGGAGGCTCAGGAGTGGGTGTTTATGTGTTGGATTTCCTCTTCATCCTGGGGCACCGCGGCGCTGTTGGGAACACCAACGTCTCCGTTCCAATCCTTAAGCCATGGGCTTCTCCTTCAAAGAAACTGGGAAGGAGGGAGAGGGCGGAGTTCTGAGTGAGGCCCGGGAGTGTGTTGGAGCCAGGAAGAGGGCACAGTAGATGAATTATCTCTTGGTGTGTCCAATGCCACTCCCTTATTTCCTGGAACTTTTGCCCTTTTTCTTTCTCTTTCACTTCCTAGTATGTGATCTTGCATTCATTTAAATTTTTTTTTCCTTTTTATTGAATTTTGGGTGACGCTGGTTAACAATTATACATATTTCAGCTTCGCGTGCATCTGGAGTGCAGTGCGCAAGGTCTGGAGGAGGAGCAGGTTGCTCCTAAGGGCTGGGGTTGTTGAAGGCTCTGTGAGCCTCCGCAGATGCCTGGGAAACAGGTAGATCGGCCACGGAGGGGCTGCTGCGGGTCACTGGTACCTACCTTTGAACATGCTTTGTGTAGCTGCAGCCCTCGGCACAGTGTTTTTCAGGATGTTTCATCCTATTTGTAGGTCATGCAATCATTTCAGTGGCGTGCACCCTGATCTAAAGAAAGAATAGAAGGTTAAGGGCCACATCACACTTAGTTAAGGGGAAAGCATTGTTTTGGGTGTATTTGTGCGCCGGGTTCTTGATGTCGGTTACACCTCTACTGTGGGTCATGCCCCAAATGGAAAAACTCTGTCGAAGAGCAGGCGCTTGCTCTCCACTAGCCTGAGTGAGAATCTTGGCTCTGCCACTTGCATAAAAAAAATTGCATTTATCTGTGCAATAAGGATTTCGATGCCTGCCTGTGTGTGATGAGGACTGAATGAGAAAAGGCATGTGCTTATCACAGCCCGTGGTCCAGGGTCCATGCTTCAGCAATGCTCTGGACCCTGGTATTTCTTTCCAACTCAGTAACATCACAGTGGTGGCAGGAAATTGGCCACAGTGAGAGTATGTATGCACCACCAGAATCAGCAAATGCTGCAAATCAGGGGTTTTGGTGGTTTTTTTTTTTTTTCTCGTCTCTTCTGGGATCTGGTTGTCAAACATTTAATAATACTTCTTCCTTTACACCTGTGCAGTTGGGATAGGTATGGATGGAGCTGGACTCGATTGAGATTCAGGTTTGGAAGGGAAGGATTAGATGAACTTCTGGGTTTTTGAGTGAGTCCCCAGAAGATATTTGTATTCTGTACCCATGGACTGGATGCCAATTACTTAACATTTATTGATCACTCACCACGGACTATCCTGAGCAATAAACAAAGACACTGTGCTTGTTGGAAGGCAAATGATCCAATCTCAAATTCTGATTACAAATGCCCAGGGAAGCTTTTTAAGGTCCACGTCTAGGGGCCCTGGAGGAAGGATTCGGAGTGAGGTGCATTTGCATTACCTAGAAAGCATTATTTTAACAGGAAGGCCTTGGCCCTGCTTAATGGTTCAAGACATGGCCTCTAAAGCAGGCCTTTGTTGGTTGGCTCCATCATCTGGGACAGGGCAAAATGAATGTAACACCTTTCTATTGCTCAGTTGTGTGGCCTTAATGAGGTGCACGCTGCACTTTGCCAGGAACGGGCCCTCGGTAGGGTTTCTAGCAAGCATCAGGCACAGAGGTGGGCCAAAAGGACCCACTTCCCTGCCTTCAGAGGACTTCTGCTTCAGTTCGGCCCTGTTTAAATGTTACCACTGACCCACGTCCCATTTGTCAGCCTTCTTTGCATTTTATCATTTTATAACAAATAGGTTGGGAGGGGAAGTGACTTGCCCAAGGGCCTACAGCCTGCTGGGCAGAACTTGCACTAAAAGCCAGGAAAAGGCCCTGTGAGTGAACTGGACAGCTTAGGGCTTTGCAAAGCCCGAGTAAAAATAGCCGTTTCCCGTCAGGAAGGTTGGATGGAGGCGCTCCCTCCTCTCTCCGACGGAGGGATGCCCTAGCCTTGTCCCGGGGCGCAGAGCCTGGGGTGGATGCATTTCTGGGTCCCCATGCTACTACGAGGCCTGCCCTTCTGGGGGGCTACGAACTCCCCTCCGCCCTGCGGAGAAGGGAAGCCACTTCGCCACCACGTGACGCGCTCGTCCCGGGGGCC